TGCCCACTAGTTTGTTTTATATGAAAAACGTATTCTGAGAATACGATTTATTTAATTGAAAATCGTATTCTCAGAATACGTTTTTCATATAAAACAAACTAGTGGGCACTGCCCACAGTGTGCAGGGGAATATATTTATTATTATATAACCTGGTAGGCCTGCTTAGATTTGGTCATGTCACATGTGTTTGTTTAAGCCCCATTTGTATATTATTGCTAATTTTCATGGGCCTAAAAAGTGTAAGACATGTTCACTTAAATTAAGGTTTGAATTTGGGCTCCACTTTTCACCAACATATACCTATGATTGGAACTATATTATTCTAAATTAAATTGAATAATTCAATGTTTTCAAAGCTTTACTTTTATATATTGTAATTTTTTTGTTCCGGAATGTAAATATTATTATTATTATTGTTGTTGTTGTTGTTGTTGCACAAAAAGCAGGCAAACAGAATTACGCATTCTAATTTCAATAGAATGACAGATCGACCCGTATAACTGATTGTCTAGCACAAAAAATTGTGATAAATTTTAACAGTGTTGCTCTAATTTTAAAGGCCGGAAAACACTCGACGAACAAGGGCTCTACCCTATCATGTTCACAAGCATTGTAGGGGTCCAATTCAACTGCCTTATTGCTGGCTCTGAATACATGTTCAATGGTCTGTACTTTTGGACCATTTTGCTCTAGAGCAACATGGGAATTAAATCCTCCCTTACATGGGGGCTCGGCCGGATTTGAAGTTAATAAAAACCGACGCTAACAATGACAATCACAGTCTACTAATTCACTGTAAAAGCAATATAACAGTTGCAAAATGTATGTATACACAGTTAAAAACTTTTGTGGGGAAGTATGTTCACTATGTCATCAGGACTTAATACTAGTTATATATATTAGTTATTCTTATGTATTATAGAGTTTATATCTTTTTCGATCTGATGGCAGATCGAGCAGTGGACTAGTGATTGTCAAGAGAAGGAACAGTTCAGTCCGGTGTCGGTTTTGGACTGCTCATATGAGGAAGAAGACGAGGTCTCCTCTCGTTTTCAACACAGTCTTGCTCGTGTGGAAGGTAATTATATATCAACGAATGTCCCATCTTCGATTAGAAAACGTCTTACTTAACTCTCGATGAGTAATGTTCAAACATCGTTATATCTTTTTTGTTTTTTTCATGTATAGGAACAAAAGCAAAGCTCATGAAAACAATCCAAAGGTACGAGGGACTTGCTAAGCTCGAGCCTATCAACCTAGCTACAAAATTTGCATCGCACTTGAATTCTGATCACGAACATTCCTCGGGTTCTTTTGATTCGCCTCCTATCAATGAGAAATCCACATTGGGTGCCAAAGACGAAGAAGATGAAGACGAGCACGAAGCATTAGGACTAATGTATCAAATGAAGAACACATATTTGGCATCCCTCGACTTAGAAGCGGAAACTTTGGTTTTGGATTTCTTCAGAGAGAAAATTGCGGATAAGCGCGCGAACTCGGAAAAAGGGAGATGCGGGCCCGCCTTGTTTGAGATGGAACTGGTGGAGGAAGTGCGGGATTGGTTAAACGGTAAAAAAGATGCACGGGAATGTTTCGTGGGTTGGGAGGACGAAAAGAGCAGACTAGTGCATGTCTACGACATGGAAAAACGAGGCGAATGGATAGGATTGGATGAAGAAAGAGATGAGGTGAGCTTAGAGCTGGAGAATGTTTTCTTTGTGGAGCTTATGGATGAGCTGTTGCTAGAGATCTCAAGCTAAGGTTAAAAACTATGTTTTTGTGTTGGTATGACAAAGGCTCGAGGTTGTTTTCGTCATTTTGTTGCTTGCTTGGGGGATGAATATTGAATAGAGTGATTAGGACAACCTTGACGAAATTTTGTTCTCTATCGTGGAGTGTATTTGTCTCTTTGGATTTTGGCTTATGAAATTTAACTTGTCTTCAACATTGTGTTGAGAAGAATATTATTGTCAAAGTAACTAATATATTGGATTCAATAAGGATGTTGTTAGAATCAGTTAGTCGGCCATATTTTTTAAATAAATATATATATCTCGGTATATATATTTATTTAAAAAATTATGATGAATCGACTCATCTAACTGTTAGGTCGATCCATCCGAGAATTTGTAGTTATTGACATGGACAATATTGTCCTTTTTCTTTTTGGCAAGGATAGAAATCTAATTAGTCAATATTAGAAGGCGAATGTTAGTTTGAATCTCACTATGATCTAAAACTTTATAACTAGATATCAAATATAAAGTTTGTCTGACCATAAAACTACCTTAAAACATATATATTTAATCGGAGGAGATGGAAGTATTCGTGATCGTTGAAATAATAATAACCCTACTGAAAGTTATGATATTATTTTCTTGCATATATGTTAAATATCGACAAAGAACGGTAATAGAAGTCCGAGGCGAAGAAACACACGGCCATCATACAAAATTGCAGCCCAACTTCCTGGACAAATATAACACATGACACAAGTTATAGTGACTTAACCTGTGTACAACAACTTCGTATGGACCGAAATGCATTTGGTCGATTATGTTATTTATTACAACATGTCGGTGAATTACAAAGTCGAAGAAGTATTGAAATTAGAGAACAAGTTGCCATATTTGTTAGTGTCTTAGCACATCATAAAAAAATTATTGTGGTTAAGTTTGATTTTAAATGGTTAGGTCAAACCATTAGCAAATTACTTCATTATATTTCAGATGTCGTACTACGTTTGCACCATTTACTCGTTGTTCAATTGTTTTCTGTCGAAGATGGCACACAGACTGGAGGTGGAACCTCATTTAATTTTTTTCAACAAACATTTGTTAGAATATACACTTGTGAGTTGTCCTACATCGTCTATACAGGGAAAATAGGCCTAACTTATAAACTAGTAAACTACTCTTTCTACTACCAATTGGTTTTATGATAAAACCCCATTAAGACCTATCTAGGCTCACCCTCCTTTGGTGCGCTTCATGTTCGTTGGACCGCACCCGTCAACTCTCGTTTCTTCATGGTATTAGAGCCGGTTAACCCAACCAAGTTGGGCTTGGACCATGCAATGACGTACGCGTCACCCAGCCCAGTTGGCTTTGGGCTTTATATGAAGGACTCACAAGTGAAAGAGCGTGTTAGAAATTAGAATATACACTTGTGAGTTGTCGTACATCGTGTATACAGAAAATATAGACCTAACTTATAAGCTTAGTGGGCTACTCTTTTTACCACCAATTTTTTATTTTATTTTTATTTTTATTTTTTTTTATGGAACCCCACAAAGGCCCATCTAGGCTCATCTTGCTTTGGTGCGCTTCACGACTGACATAGATGTTTTCTTCTTCCTTGAATTTGTACTTTTTTTTTAGAATAATGATTGGGGATGTTCGGTATTAGATGAAACATATATTCTTGTTCGTATTCTTGTATGATTGCATCCTACATACTCAAATAGAAAATGATCTATCTCTGTCAATGTGCTAGGTGTATGCAATAGAGAAATAAATTTTTCATACATATTGACCGGTTGGGAAGGTTCAACTGCAGATAGTCGAATACTAAGGTATGCGGTATGCCGAGATAATGGTTTACGAGTTCTCACGGGTTAATAGACTTTAGCATTAACTTTTTTGGTTAATATTGATTTTACCATTAAATTTTCTGGAAATCCCAAAAAAAGAAAAATTCCCTTAATAATTTCTTGATTTTTCTTGTACAATAATGCTCACTACCCACGGTGGGCACATGTTAATATGTCCACCGCTTATGTGGCATGCACACATTGGTGATATTAATATGTCTAAAAAAATACATCACCAATGTGTTCATGTCACATAAGCGGTGGGCATATTAAAATGTGCCCACCGTGGGTAGTGGAACATTACTCTTTTCTTGTATACATTCCAAGGTGTTATTACTTGTGGATGGTAGGTACACTAATAGACCAGTTTCTCTTGCTTTTCACGGAGGGTGAGATATCATTTAGATGAGTTTGGTGACGGTAATCGAGCGTCAAGATGAGTTCTTGTTTGTTTGTGAACATTTCTAAAATCTATCGTTTCGAAAAAAAATATATGGAGTACAATGTAAAGCGAACGGTCAGAGATGAAACTTGATTTTTGTTTAACTCTAGTATAGAGTAGAGTAAACTCTACACTAGAGTAGAAATAAGAGCCGAACTTTGCTTTACAAATCTATTTTTAAAAACTATTTTATTCTGCTAATGATCATGTTATTTGATCTTTACAAATCCACACAAGGAATAATGATCCCCTACCCACGGTGGACACATGTTAATATGCCCACCGCTCATGTGGCATGCACACATTGGTAATATTAATATGTTCAAAAAATACATCACCAATGTGTGCATGCCACATAAGCGGTGGACATATTAACATGTGTCCACCGTGAGTAGGGGAGCATTACTCTCCACACAAGTCCTCACCAATCCACACAAACACTTTAGGTACTAAACAACAAAAATATGTAGTTTTTTATTTCTATTTTTCTTTTTTCTTTTTAGCTTTGTATATTTTATCGAAAATAATCTTTATTTAAAATCATAAGTTTTATAAATATGCATAACTTAAAAAATAGCTCATGTATCTTTAAATATATAATCTACCTTCTTAATATATTTTTATTTGTTATAAATATTTCTTTCATGAATTATTTCATAAAATTATTATATTAAAGAAAAAATAAAAAAATTTCTTTAGATCAATCGAGTGATTGGAATAGGTTATTGTCGAGGCTGATTAAATTATTTTTAGGTGATTTTTTTTTTTTTAAATAGTCCAAAACCATTTTGAAATAGTCCAAAACCATGACACAACTATGATTGATCCTTAGTCGCAGGTAAGTTTGATCAGACCAAATCGATCAGTGAAACTAAATAGAAACTTTATATTAAAAATATATTTTTACGATAAATATAATGTAATCCGAGCTTCAAGATAATTTTATGAAAATATGTTCAATGATTTATGAATATCCACGTATTATTTTATTATCATTTATGTAAACTAAATAATATTGGATTACAATTTTTATTAATGTATGGTAAATCAAAGTCTCTTAGAATTTGACCATCATCGAATCGATCAGGTTATTTATTCAATACATTATTGGTTGGATCACGATTTAATTTATTAATATTAAGTATTTATTTTATTAAATATGTATTTTTATTCATATTAAAAATAGTTTTAAATGTTACAAAATTTATTTAAGAGTCTACAAATCATACAAGTTCTACAGACGGGTATTGATCGATTCACAAACAAACATTTTATTCAAACAAACTGGAAGGATCGATAAATTGGTTCGCGGTCCACCCGGTCGGACTATTTGGTATGGTCTGATATTGAAAACAATGAGTTAATCAGAATTGTTGTTATTATAATACAATCGTAATATCTTTGATTGTGTATTGCACAGTCCACGTACTAGTTGACTGAAAAATTGCTATGGGAAATGAGAAACGAGATTTTTTTTTCTTGTTTAATCAGTTAAAATTTATTTCATTGAAACAAAATGAAAAATATCTATTTTTTTTTTAGAAAAAAATTATTCAAACTATCTCACTTTCTTTTATATTAATTCCACCAACAATTAACAAATATAAAATAAGTATATTATTGTAAATTTTCAATAAAAAAACAATATTTAATCAACTCATATATTTATAATTATAATTAATTATTAATTAATATTTATTATTTTATTATCGCATCAATTTGAAAAACTACAGTATACTTATTTATAATGTAACATTTGTCTTAAATTATTTTTTGTTTTTGTTTTTAATTTCATCTGTCCCACGAGATATATACATATAGTTGCTGGCTGAACATTAAATAAAACCTATTTAATTATACATGCGTGACACTTTCCCACAAAAAAACCGTTATTGACCAACATTAATAATTTTTTACACTAATTATATAATCTGGACACTAATCAGATCATAATAATTTTAATTGGCGAAAATCAGGATAACCTGGATTTCAAGGAATGTTGACGAAACATCCAAAAAAATTTAATTATCAGAATAATTTTAATTGGCTTTTGTTGTATTAATAATAATAATAATAATAATAATTATAATAATAATAATAATAATAATAATAATAATAATAATAATAATAATAATAATAATACTTTTTATGATAATTAATAGATTAGGATCTCTCAAATTTATAAAAGTTATATAATCTTTATTTTATGCAATCAATATTGAGATGAAGTTGAATATTTTTGTAATGCTCGTTTTAAAAATTATTCTTTTTTTAAAAAAAAAAAAAATGTGATATTATTATTTAACTTATAAATTTAATATATATACATAAATATAATTTATGATAATTTAAACATTTAATATATACTTATATTAAAAGCCATACTATTTACCAAAAATAGTAGCAAGTAAATTCAACTCACATTTAATGTATACTTTATTTAGAAATTTTTTACAATATGCATTAATTGCTTGCATATATACATTTCTTATTCAAATATGATCAAAAAAATTCTTTCCTTAAATAATTTTATGAACTTCTGCAATGATTTTACTGATATATATTATAATTCATATTTGTCGATAGTATTTTTTAATTTTTATTTGAGTATATGAAAAACAAATATTTTTTTTTAAATTAATATTTATTTATCATCTAAGAGATAATGATCACATCATTAAATGATATTACTGATGACTAGATAATAAATTAAAATACATTAATTATTCTTTAAAATTTTGGCATGTTATTTATTTGTATCTATACTTATTATATAAGGTATCCTATTTACCAAATTTAGTAGATTGAAAAGTCAACGTAATTAATGCATTGTTATTTCTATCCAGAATTTTGTTTAATTATTTTATTATTTGTCTTATATCCATAAAATCACTTTAAGAAAAAAAAAAATCTTATAACATCTTACAAGTCAAAAAAAAAAAAGTAAAATCTTTACTAAAATAAAAAGACTTTATTTATTTGTCTTATTCCATATTAACATTGATTTTGTCAAAATAAATCTCAAAAAATCAGTGAAGTCAAAATTTGTACGTAAAGTCTATCTATCCAAAAAAAAAGTCAAACTCAAGATTCCTTATCTAATTCCTTCTTTTTCTTATCTAATTCCTTCTTTTCCTTATCTATTTTTTTTTATTATCTAATTGTATGAAAATCTATTCTGATTTTGTTCAATCCTCTAATTGTATTTGTATTATATTCCATAAAATCGGTTTAACAAAAAAAATCCCATAACATCCGATAAGTAAAAAAACAAAGTACGTAAAATCTTTAATAAAATAAAAAGGCTTTATTTATTATTTAATTGTATGGAAATCTGTTCTGATTTTATGGTACGTACTACAAATTGTGCACCCGTGTTCATGAGCTATTTAACGGGCAAGCTCTGTGAAAATGACTCATTTAGTGCTTTTGTCTCGTGCATACAGTATGTATTTTTATTACACATACTAGAAAATTGTGCATCATGTGCATCGCACGGGCTCTGTACTAATAAATGACCTTAAAATTGTGCACCCCGTGCATCACCTGTGTTCACATTTTGGCATATTACAGGTCACGTACTATATGTATCCCGTATATTTTTTTTATTCATTTATATAATTATAAGAATGGATAAATGACCTTAAAATTGTGCACCCCGTGCATCGCACGGGCTCTGTACTAGTATATATTAAAAGCCAACCTATTT